ACTGAGTGCCTAAAATCCTTTCTCGGTCACCATCCACTTCAGTCAGGCAATCCCATCTGAAGGACACAGAGAAAGATGGAGGAACATTGTCTTAGTTTGGGTTTTACTGCTGTGAACAGACACCAAGACCAAGGCAACTCTTATAAGGACAACATCTAATTGGGGCTGGCTTACAGGTTCAGAGGTTCAGTCCATTATCATCAAGGTGGGAACATGGCAGCATCCAGGCAGGCATGGTGCAGAAGCTGAGAGTTCTACATCTTTATCTGAAGGCTGCTAGCAGAACACTGGCTTCCAGGCAGCTAGGATGAGGGTCTTAAAGCCCACACCCACAGTGACACACCTACTCCAACAAGGCCACACCTCCTAATAGTGCCACTCCTTGAACCAAGCATATATAAACCATCACAAACATGCATTTTTTTCCCTGTTACTTTGGTTCTGTTTGTGCATCTATGAGTCTCAGGGACCACAGCACAACCTCCCACCCCTGACCCCTGAGATCCCACACTGGTCAATGTTGCACGGACTGTGGTGTTTTGAGTGAGAAATGCTCCTCCTGGGCTCCGGTGTTTGAACTTTTGGTCTCTTGTTGGCGGCACTGATTGGGAAGTTAACAAAGCTTTAGGTCAGGTGGAGCCTTACTGGAGGAAGTGGGCTTTGCCACTACTTTCCACTAGGGTGGGCTTTGCCCTACTTTCTCTCTCTCCTCTCCCCGTCCCCTTCCCACCATGCAGTCTTCCCCAGGATAGACTCTGTCCATCTGAAACCATAAGCCAAAAACCCTCACCTTCTTCCTTAAGCTCCTTTGGTCAGGGTATTTTATGACAGCAACAGGACAGGAACTAGTACAGAGGTGACTGTTTGGCTCAGTGTTGGAGAGAAGCAGAGAGAGCTGATTGCCAGTCCTCAGCCAGTTTTCTCCTCTCCCTTCTCGGCCCATAGACCTGTGCTGTCCATAGCTAAGGTGGGGCTCCCCACCTCGACTAATTCAATCTAGAAAAAAAATCCCTCACAGACATGCTCAGATGTATATTCCCATCAGAACTCTAAATTCAGTCAAATCAGTAGTAAAAAATAACCAGCCAAGAGCCCTGAGGTGATCAACCAGGTACAGAGATATATACAGGTTTGTGTTTCTTCTCAACAAACAGTCCCCCAAAATATAACAAGCCGTTTCTGACTAAACCCTGTCTCGCTAAACAAATAAGAATACATTTTTTCAAGTTCACATTTGAATTTTTTTGAGTTTTGTGTTTTGATCTAGGGTCTGGAACTCACAGAGATCCTCCTGCCTCTGCTTCCTGAGTGCTGAGATTACAAGCATATGCCTGGTTAAATTTGAGGTTTTTATTTTTTTAAGATTTATTTATTTATTTTATGTATATGAATAGCTGTCTTCAGACACACCAGAAGAGGGCATCAGATCTCATTACAGATGGTTGTGAGCCACCATGTGGTTGCTGGGAATTAAACTCAGGACCTCTGGAAGAGCAATCAGTACTCTTAACTGCTGAGCCATCACTCCAGCTCTTGAGGTTGTTTTGAAACCGGTTTTTTCTCTGTACCCCAAGCTGGCTTTGAACTTGAGATCTTCCTAGCTGAGCACCTCAACCTCTGTGGTGGTTTGTATATGCTTGGACCAAGGAGTGGCACTATAGGGAGGTGTGGACTTGTTCGAAGAAGTGTCACTGAGGATGGGCTTTGAGACCTCCTTCTAACTGCCATTGAGACAGTCTTCTCTTTGCCTTCAGAACAAGATGTAGACTTCCCAGCTCCTCTTGGGCCATGCCTGTCTGGACGCTGCCATGTTCTCACCTTGATGATACTGGACTGAATCTTAGAACCTGTAAGCCAGTCCCAATTAAATGTCCTTATAAGAGTTTCCTTGGTCATGGTGTCTCTTCACAGCAATGGAAACAACAACCTTTGAGATTGTAGACTCGAGCCACCATATAAGGCTCTGGTCTGAATTTCTCTCTGTAAAAATAAACTTAAATTTTAGTATAATTTTAAATTTACAGGGAAATTTAAATTCGGCAAAGAGACTCCAGAATTTCCTTTACGTGCTCCCCATCCTCCCTCCCCAGTCCTGCACTGTCAGCATCTTCCAAGCCGTGGGCAGCCAGAAATAAACACTGGTCCACTGCTGTTAGCTACACTCTAGGCTTATAGAGACTCCCTCAGCTCCTCCTCCAATGTTCTTTTTCTGTTCCAGAGTCCAATCCAGGAGCCCATGCTGAGTTTAGTGTCATTTCACAGATTTAGCTAGGGGCTTCCTCTTGCTGATGAAGGGGCCTAGCAGGCGTGAGGGGGGGGGAGAAGGACTCCTGGGGACTCTTGTCTCTCTCAGTTGGGGATGTGCATGTTTAGTAATTAATCCCTTTCCCTAGATGCCTCTGCTACTCCAATCTGGGGAAGTGTAAGCACAGAGTAAGAACCGAGGACCTTAAACACTCACATATCCTCCCAGCCCTCATGTGGCTATAGCTTGTGTGAGCCCCTAGAGAGAGCGCGAGCCTGGGGCAGCCTGCCCTTAGCAATTCTCAGCGGATCCAATAGGCAGTCATTGATTGAGTCCTTCTTGTGCACAAGGCCCTCTGGAAGATGTTAGGGGGGAATCTTTTTTTTTTTTTAAAGACGACCACCATATCCTACTATTTTTTTTTTTCCGGTTTTTCGAGACAGAGTTTCTCTGTGTAGCTCTGGCTGTCCTGGAACTCACTCTGTAGACCAGGCTGGCCTCGAACTCAGAAATCCACCTGCCTCTGCCTCCCAAATGCTGGGATTAAAGGTGTGCACCACCACTGCCCAGCCCATATCCTACTTTTTAAGAAGCCAACGTGCATTCAGAGAGAGCCGGCTAGAGCCTTGTCAGGGTGAGAGACAGGTAGCAATGGTGTGAACAGGAACACGGAGATGCTTCCACCTAGGAAGGCTGAGGAGGCTTCTAGGGAAGATGACATCTGAAACCAAGCCTTGAAAAGAGAGTAGAATTCCCAGAATTCCCAGGGTAGAGGTGGAAGGAAATGGCATTCTGGATGGAAGGGGAAAAGGCTCAGAGGTATAGACAGCAAGAGTCGGGTGTGGAGAACGGATAGCACAGGCTACCCACATAAAGGAGAACATGAGGATCCCTAAAACCATCTAACAGTGTGACAGGAGATCAACCCCCACCCCAACCGGGGGTAAGAGGCACCCAGATTTTCACATGGGTAAAATAAGAGCTAGGGGAGGGGCTGGTGGCAGCTTGTGGTAACGGTGAGGCAGAATGGAGATTATGGCGGGAAGTGATCTTGTCTTATGGGCTCAGAAACATCCAAACCAAGAGCGTCACAGGGATGGGAAGGGAAGAGGAGGGGTAAAGAAATGGGGTACTGAGGGATGTGAACAGGGGATTGAGGCTGGATGGAGGGAGGGTGACTGCAGTCATGGACCAGCAGCAGCGACAGGAGCCGGCTGAGGCCATGGCTACTGAAGGGGCTAGCTGAAGCAAGGGATTTTTGAGGTCAAAGGTACCTGAGATGCCAAGTGCATGTGTCACTGGGGAAGAATGGGGAAGGTACCAGCCTGCATGACAGGTGTCTTGTTCCCAGTGCCTCTGAGTATTTTCATTCCAACAGAACTCAGTGACGATCCATATCAATGGGGAATCAAAGCATTTCCTCAGCTGATAGATACCACTGATTGTACCCAACAGAAATGTTCTCAAGGGGCTGGGGACGTAGCTCAATTGGTAGAATGTTTGCCTAGCACACATGAATTCCCCTCCCCGCCGCTGTGTTTGATCCCCAGCAGTGCATAAACCAGGCATACAACCCCAGTATTCTGGAGAGGGAGAGAGATGTCTCAATTCAAGGCCATCCTCAGCTGTGGACTGAGTTCTAACCCTGTCTCTAAAACAAAACAAAACAAAACAAAACAAAACAAAAACAAACAAAAACAACAACAACAAAGAATCAAAGAATGAGCAGAAAAGTGTCCCCAGCTCCTAACCTTCTAACTCAGCTTCACCTCTGAGTGAAACCACTCAGAAAAGTCCTGTCACAACCTGGAGGCCCCATTTTCCAGCCCCTCATCTACCTTGGCCTATTTTCCAACCACAATTTTTTCTACATAGTGGCTCTGCCCAGCCCCGCCCTTACTGCAGTCTGTGGCCATCTTTCCTCACGGTTTGCCCTGTCACTCCTTTGGGGAACCCACCATACTGATTTCCCTCAGCACCCAGGTCTGTGGTTCACCAGTTAGGACAGTGAGCCCCTCAGCGATGCGAACCACCTACCGTTGTTCCAGAGTGCCCACCTGGTAATTTTGAGAGCTCAAGATGTTCAGATTTCTGCTTTTATTTTAAAATGTAGTGTTTGCATGTGTCCATTTTGGAAATGTTTGTTTGGGTTCTTGGAGTTTGCTTTAGGATGGGTTTTGGGCATTGGAGGGTCTTCCAGTGTATCCCAGGCTGGCCTCCAAAACCCATCAGCCTTTCCCAGCACCCTGAGCGCACCATGCCCGTAGCCTGACTCTGGGTTTTTGGTCTTCTCTGGATTGAAACTGTTTTGAATCCTTCCTTGCCTGGGGATGGTTTCTGCCAGAGCTCTCACTTTATACATTCATCTGTTCATTCAGGCCGTGCAATCAATTATCAAAGCTGGATAGTGTCAGGCGCGCAGACACCGTGGGGACACTGATGACAAGAAACATTGTGAAACCTCTGTGGGCATCAGAGAGGATCCTCCAGGGAAGCTTTCCTCGCTGTGGGGCCACCGGGGGCCTTGTCTAGCTCGTGGTCTCATGCAGGGCTGCCCAGGTATCGAGCCTGCCAAAGCGTGTCCTCCAGAGACCTCTCTGCTAGCTCTGACACCACCCCACCATAGCAGCACAGCAGCAGACAGGAGCTGAGCAGTTCTGAGATCCTCGGGGAAAGTCACTGTCTCTGGCAAGAGAACCTGGGAAGGCGGGCTTGGTAGGCGGGGCCTGGTTGTAGGCAGTGTTGCTTGTAGGGACAGAGCTGGCGCTAGGACTTGGACCTTGGAGACAGAAGCCTGTGGGGATCGGGAGGGCTTGGAAGGAAAGTCAGTGAGTGGGTCGCGAGAGGCGGGGCGTGAGCTTCTGAGTCCTTCCGGTTCCTATGACCTCCTCGGAGAAGAGTGACAGCCTCACGGACCAGAGCAATGGGTGAAAATATCCTTCAGGGGCTTAGATCCGAGCGGGAAAGGGGGAGGCCCGGCGAGTGCTCCCACTCGCCCACTCGGACTGATGGAGCAGACACTCATCTCCCTCTTCACTGGGTGTCCGGGCTCAGTGGGCAGCACTGGGATCTAGCGGAGCCAGACTCTGGGCTCCCGAGTGAGTCCTGAGAGCCCCTAGATTAGAGGTGTATTTGCATGGCTATTTGGGATTGCACTTTGGGTCCAGCAGCAGCAGGTCAGCTCTGGAACACATCTGACTTGAAGAGCCCCAGCTGGAGCCCCGGAATCAAGCTCTTCCTTCCTTCCTTCCTTCCTTCCTTCCTTCCTTCCTTCCTTCCTTCCTTCCTTCCTTTCTTTCTTTCTTTCTTTCTTTCTTTCTTTCTTTCTTTCTTTCCTCTCTCTCCCTTCCCACTCCCTCCCTGTCCCCAGTTTTGTGGTCTGTATATTGAGCATAACAGCAGTCCAGCTCTCCAGCTCACGGTATATACCGTGTATAAAGTGTCTGGCACCTGCTCAGAAGGCTTAGAAAATGCTGACCGTTAGTCTCCCAGTTTCGATTTTCAAGGTTTCAATTTCCCAAAGTCCAAAAATTTAGGGCATAGTCCAGTTTTGAGCTGCACGGTCCAGACATCTTACTGTATGTAACTTTAGCTGGCTTGGAACAACCTAGACCAGCCTGTCCTGAACTGGCTGAAATTCTCCTGCCTCTGCTGCCTCCGTACTAGGCTAGGCTTACAGGTGTGATTAGTACACTTGGTTCTCATAAAATATTTTAGAGGCAGAGACTGTTGCACAAATTTTCATTGCAGTATATATTGTTTTGTTGATTTGAAGACAAGGTCTTCAAATTGAAGACTATGAGACAAGGTCTTATGTAAGCCGCTGGCCTCAACTTCTGATCTACCTGTGTCCACCTTTTAAGTGCTGGGATGACAGGCGTGTATATTACAGTATATTGTTGTCAGCACTGTATCTTATTAATTTTTGTTGTTTATCTCCTATTGTGCCTAATTTATAAGTTAAACTTTATCATGGAGAACATATATATATATATATATATATATATATGAACATATATATATATATATATATATATGAACATATATATATATATATTTGAATGCATAGGTAGCATTCATTGTATGGGGTTCGTTTTGAAGTTTCTGGTATCTACAGGGGCTCTTGGAATGGGCCCTGTACAGTTAAGAGGCATTGTACTCTGTTTACTCCTGTTTAACAGAAAGGGAAACTGAGGATGGAGAGGTTTTAGGCACCAGCCCAAGGTCATACAGCCCACAAGTATCAGGATTCAAGCCAACAGCCCCCAACCCACTCCTTCCAGTTCTGCCCTAAAACCAGTGAGCTACATCCTAAAAAACCTATTAAGATCTTTCTCACCCAAGGGACTCAGTTGTCTTTCCCGCCTCAAGGTATCTGGCAGTCTGTCCAAAGCTAGGACATAGGCCCATAGCACAGATGCCTGTGCATGTTGGTGCACACCTAGGGGCTTAGGAAGTACTGGATTCATGAATGCAGAGGATGAATAACCGACCAGTTCTGCCTTGCAGGTTTGCTCTCAGAGTTGAAGTTGATTGTGCCCTGGGGCCACATTGCTGTCAAAGTCTGGGGCTCCCAGAAGAACCCTCCAGTTCTCTGCTTGCATGGCTGGCTGGACAACGCCAACTCCTTTGACAGGCTCATTCCTCTTCTTCCACAAGGTAGGGCTGTGGGCTGAAGGGCAATGGAGGGGTGAGGGCAGCTATGCCGACCTCTCTCTTCCTCTTCTCTACTGTAGACTTCTGTTACGTGGCCATGGATTTTGGAGGTCATGGACTCTCATCTCATTACAACCCAGGTCTCCCGTACTGCTTCCAAAATTTTGTGAGTGAGGTCCTAAGGGTGGCAGCAGGTGAGTCAGAGCCAAAGTGAGTGCCATGAAGGAGTTGGGGGTGGGGTGAGGGAGGTCCTCTGTAACACTTGTCATCCTAGGAGTATGATGCAGTATCTAAGAGGCAGTACTGGCCTGGGAATGGATGCCTGAGGTTTCCACTTCAGGTTTCCTGGCAACTTCCCATAGTGGAGCTCCCACCCCTTCAGCAGGTCTCCTGCTGGGGCTTGGGGTGGGGGTGGGGCTGCTGCAGGTCTTTGGAGGGAGTCCTAAGCCAGGGCACTAGAAAAAGGACAGAGAAAGGCTGAGCCACGCAAACCTCCTTCTGATTTTGTGTTTTCAGCCTTTAAGTGGACTCGGTTCTCCCTCATGGGCCACAGTTTTGGTGAGTGAGCTTAAGGTGGGACCCGAGTTCTGTAGGAAGGGGAGAAAACTTGATGCTGTGGGACCTGGTGTCTTTCCCTGCCCCTCTGAGGAGAGGGGTAAGAGGATCTTCTAATGCTTATCCTAGGGACTGGGTCCTCTAGCATCAGAGGGAGGGAGGGAGGTATGGCCTTGTGCATGCTTTCTGATGAAGGGAACTTGGTAGCCCAGGGAGAGGCCAGAGTTTAAGATGCAGACTCTCAACCCCATGGTGGGAAAGGAACTGGGGATGGGACACCCCCAGGAAAGAGCTAGCGGGGAGGGTACTGAGAGCTGGGAGGGGCCACACGGAGTGTCACCGCAGCTCTTTTGTCTGGCAGGTGGCACGGTGAGCGGCACGGTGAGTAGCTGGTTGTGCTGGGGTTGCCCGGGGACCTTGAGGGGAGGGGGAAAGCAAAAGGTAAGATAGGGAGGGTCCCGAACCTCCTTAGCCAGAGTCAGTTTCCACACACACTGTGTCCTAGCGAAGGTCCCTTGTAGAGTTTCTGCTATCCTGACTGTCACCCCCAAGACCTCCAAGACTCCCAAGACCAGGGTTACCAGGGTCTCCAGCCAGGTCTGAGAGAAGCACACTGGAGGTTCAGCAGACTCCTGTTCCGGAGACACCTGTGCCTTCCCCACCCACTCACTGTTGCTCTGTCTGTTGTCTCTAGTTCGCCTGCATGTTCCCCGAGATGGTGGACAAACTGATCTTGCTGGACGCAGCGCCACTTCTCCTGGAATCTAATGTAGGAGAGGCTTCTGGGAGGCTGTCATGGGGACTGACCCCAGACTTTAGGGGTGCCTTCAGCTCTGTCTCCTGTGGTGGACATTAAGGAGTTAGCCGAGAGTCTCCCCCAGAGAGGGCAGCATCTTAAAGCTTGCTTAGGGCAGCATCCTAAGAATATGAGGGAGCAGGGTATAGGAGCTAGGGGGAAACTCAGTGTGTGGCCTGGCTTCTGCAGAGAGCAGGTAGATCCCAGCATAGACTGTGATCAGCAGAAGGTGGGTGAGGGGAGCACCCGTGGGCGGAGGCAGCTCTGGGCCACAGCGAGATCCCTGCACTAACACTTAACCATCACTCTGTGCTGAGCACATGCAACATCAACCCTGAGTGTGGTTTGGTAGAAAACCACTGAGCACCACTGTCTGTCACAGCAGTCAGCGCTATCCCTGAGTCTGCGAGGTTGCTCTGTCCTTTTCCTACTGTGTGAGCCTAAGGAAGTTAGTTTGTTCCAGAGGACTCTGCTGTGTCAATTTAAACCCTTCCATTTATAAAATGGCCACACCTGCCCTGAGGACAAGAACTCTATCCTCCTCTTCTTCCTTCCCTTCCCCCTCCCCCTCCTCCCTCTCCTCTTTCTCCCCCTCCTCCTCCTCTTCTTCCTCCCCCTCTTCTTCTTCCCCCTCTTCCTCCTCCTCTTCCTCTTCTTCTTCCTCCTCTTCCTCTTCCTCCTCTTCTCTTCCTCCTCCTTCTTGAAACAGAAACTCATTCTGTAATCAAAGCTGGCCATGAACTAATGATAATCCTCCTGCCCCCAGCCTCCTCTTAGGGATAGGAATTACAGGCATGAGCCATCATACCTGGCTCTGTGCATTTTCTTTTCTTTTTTTTTTTTAAAGATTTATTTATTTATTTTATTTATGAGTACACTGTAGCTGTCTTCAGACACACCAGAAGAGGGCATCAAATCTCATTACAGATGGTTGTGAGCCACCATGTGGTTGCTGGGATTTGAACTCAGGACCTCTGGAAGAGCAGTCAGTGCTCTTAACCACTGAGCCATCTCTCCAGCCCCAGCATTTGCTTTTCTATCCCCATCTCCTGTCCCTGCATGTTGTAAGCACTCAGTAATTTTCCACTGCATGAACCAGTAACTCACAGGTTAATGTGGAATCTGATGCACAGACTATGGCAAACTTCACCCTTTGGTCTTCGTAATGTCCCACTGATGACACAAGTATGGAGCCTCAGAGTTTCCTCCTGGGTGGGGCTTGGTGGCAGTGAACCCCAAAAGCCTGAACCTGCTGGTCTTCTTCCACTGGGGACACGGGGTGTAGCAGATGAAACTTCAGATCTACCTCCTCCCCTACCTGGTTCCACTCCCTGCCAGTAGCAATGACCATTGATTGATATGGTGAAGTTGCCCACCCTCAGTGGAATCCTAGAGTCGCATCTCTTGGCAGTTAACAGAGATGTCCCCACCACCACCAAAAAAATCATCCAGTCCCTCTAGCTGTTCCAGACAAGCCTGTGCTGAATGAGGAAGGGCTGACTGGCAGGGGCTGATCCCTCAGAAGGGCACCTAGGGTGGCGGGCAGGACCAGGGGAGGGGCTGGGATCCCTCATCTGGGCCTTCGCTACTCACCAGCTGTGGCTGAATCCTTAGGAAATAGAGAACATACTGACCTACAGGCGGAGAAGCATAGAGCACATGCTGAAGGTAGAGGCCTCCCAGAAGTCCCCGAGAGTCTTCAGCCCAGAGGAGCTGCTGCAGGGGTGAGTGTGCGGGGAGCAGGGGAGGAGGGAGGGGCACTGGGACGGCTGTGCCCTGCAAGTCTGGGAGAAGATGCCTCCTCTTTCTCCTCCTGCTGTTCTTCTCCTCACCCTCACCCTCACCCTCACCCTCCTCCTCCTCCTCCTCCTCCTCCTCCTCCTCCTCCTCCTCCTCCTCCTCACAAGGTTACGCCCTGTCCCCACCCCAGCTTGCTCCCTGCTGGGGTGGCACCCAGCACCAGGCCTCCTGGACACTTCTCAGAAGCCTCTTGCTGTCACCACCCCTCTTTACTCCTACTGGCGGGGGAAGGGCTCTTCCTTTCCCCTCAAGTTCATTTTTCACCTCTCCCCTCTGTCTACCAACCTTAGGCTCCTTAACATTACCCACAGTCCTCTCCCATTCTCCTGCTAGAGCTGTGTGGCGGCTTCTGCCCCAGAGCCACCACACCACCTGTGTCCTTGTTGGCCTCTAAATCTGCAAGCATGGCCACACTGGGACTGCCCCTGTCACATCTGTGCATACTGCCTCTGGTGGTGCACACAGTAGGACAAGGCTTTCTTTTTTGTTGATCTCTAGGCCAGTCAGCCTTTTATTGACAGGTGAATGCTTTTACACAGAGCTCAATAGCATTGTGTCTACATAACGGATATGGATACAAAGTAACAGGCAGGCTGTTGAATAACCCCGCTGACTCTGACTTCTCCATCCCTCATGGGTAGCATCTGTGAGTAGCGTCCGTCTCCTCCTTCTCTCCTTCCTGCTATCCTTTCTGGAGATTGAACCTAGTACTAGGCAAGTACTTTACCACTGAGCCACATCCCTTTTCCTTTTTGTTGTTTGTTTTAGAGAGATTTAGCTATAATTCAGGCTGGCCTTGAACCCACTACGTAGTCATGACAGGCCTTGAATTGAAGGTCCTCCTGCCTCAGCCTCTCTAAGGGCTACAGTTAAAGCACACTGTCGACTCAAGCTGCCTGCTCCCCTTGACTCCCGGGCTTAGTCAAGGTCTGGTTCCTTTAGTGGATTTCTGTCTCCCCCAGGCTCCTGAGTAGAAACAGCCACTTGACTAAAGATTGTGGAGAACTCCTGCTGCAGAGAGGCGCCACGAAGGTGACCGAAGGTAAGGACTGTCTGTCATTACTGAGGGACATCATGGGGCCTTGCCTGTGCCAGGCTGTTGCTTGGCGTGTACAGTGTCTCACGGGCTCTTTCATTGCCTCACACAAGGCCCTGTGAGAGCCAGGGAAACTGAGCCTGCCAAATAGCCAAGTATCTGACGCAAGGTCACATAAGCATTGGTGAAAGCCATTCTCTGGGAAGGATGGCTAGCTATTTAGACTAAAAGTTGATGACTGTCATGGCTGTGCCTGCTGGGTCTATGGGGAGGAGGTTTTCAGAACATGTGGAGATGCTGTGGCTCCGGGAGCCCCTGGCATGAGCATCTTCTGGATTACCTGTCCTGGGTATTTGTCAAAAAACCTTGACTCAAGGTCAGAGAGGTGTAGTTTCCCATCAAGACTGTGAGTGTGCTGGTAAGCCACACTAGCTCAGGCAATGGGCCAGAACCTGTAGGTGGCACCACTCCAAGAAATGGCGTTTCCTAGGCTTGACCAAGGAGGAGGCTGAGCAGGAGAAGTAAAATTTTAGCAGGAAAAAGATGGTAAACAATTGGACATTTGTCTGTTGCTGCAGCAGGGGATCTGACAGCTTCAAGGAGGAAGGATTTTTAGCTCACAGTCACAGGAGACTGTCCATCATGGTGGGGAGGGTATGGCGTCATGGCGGCAGGAGCAGGAAGCAGCTGGTCACTCGGCAACTGGTGCTTAGCTCGCTCACTGCCTTCTTTTCAGTCCTGAACCCCCAGCACATGGGATGGTGATGCCCAGAGTTATGGTGGGCCTCCCCACCTTACTCTAATCTAGAAACTCCCTCAGAGACATGTGCAAAGATTTGTTTCCATGGTGATTCTAAATCCTGTGAAGTTGACATTCCAGATTAACCATAGCAACAATGTTATAGATAAGGGATGAGTAACTGAGAACCCTAGGGAGAACGGGCCCTGCTCTCGAGGGTTACAGGAGCTGCTCTCAGGTGAGATAAAAGCTTCTGTGAGATGGGGTCATGAGACAGGAAGTACCCCAGCACAAAATCCAGGGTTTGGTGCCAGCTAGCCACTTAAGTCATGGGACTTAACTCTATTGTCAGGAAACAGATAAGGTCACTAGGTTGCCACTCCCATAGGCTGATAGGCCCAGTTGAGGTTGTAAATGTGACTTAATTTCTGAAGAACCAAAAGCCACCCCTCCCAGTGCCTGTGAAGGTGGGGGCAAGTTGTGGGGTCCTCCTGGCCAAAGAGGGAACACTAGGGAGTGCTGGGGACTGGAGCCAACAGGCTCTAGCAGAAACAGGTGATCACCTGGGAACTCTTGTCCTGACTGACTAGAATTCCAACTGCTGAAGAGGAATAACCAATAACACAGTGAGGGTCACAGGGAACAGGCCTGGAGTGTTTGGGTGGAGGCCGTCATTCTGATCTGTTGGGTTTTTTTTTTTGTTAGTCTTGAGCCTCTGTCTCCCCTCCTTAAAAACTCGTAGGAAAGTTGAGGTCCCAGACTTCTGTGCCCGACAAAGATGACCAAACTAGCCAGGGGTTCTCTGTACAGAAACGGGCTAATCCAGAAGAGGCATGCTTCTGCCAGTCCAGAGAACCCAGCTGGGCCCAGAGTTACCTGGAATGCAGGCACAGATACTGAATAGCCACTAAGGAGACAGTTGGACGTTGGCTGTGCTGGGAGCACTGTGGCAGGAGCACTCCTCTATAGCAGAATTAGCTTAGGAGAAGGTAGATCCAGATCTTGCTGGCTCTCTAGATATGGACATCGTTAGGAAGCCATTGCTCTGTCCCTCCCTCCCACCCGCCCCCACGGGCATGATTTCTTCGTAATTCAGGTAAGGAAGCAGTCATAAGTTTCCTGACTCTCACTTTCAACAAAAGGGAGTCCCCAGCTAAGCCAGGACATGAGGTGTGAAAGCTGATTTCATCAGGCAGATGTACCAGGATAGGGAGAGAGCCGCGACACAGCCTTAGACACATTCTCCTCAACACAGGTGTTCCAGCCTAGAGCTTGCTTCAAGCCAGGTGTGGCGTGCCAGCCTGAATCCCTGGCATTCTAGCGTTTGGGAAGTTGAGGCAGGAAGATAGTGCCCTAGGCCAGCCCAGATTATGTAACAAGACCCTGACTCAAGCAACCAACAAAAGCAACACAGACTCCTGGAGGAAGTACTCTTCAAAGAGAGAGAAGCCTGCTCTGCTCAGGCTCCCTAAGGACAAAGGGAACCCTACCCTTCCCTTCAGGAGGCTGAAATCTCTACCGTAAACCCAGCTGCATTCTGTGGAAAGCTCGGGTCTGGCTTGAGCAGATCCACAGACACACTTGGCAGGGGCTCTGGGACGGCTGCCCACATTTGAAAGGGAGAGGATTTGTTAGAAGAGACGGGCTTTCTAGACCCGTGACTGAGAAATGGAGAGATCTAACGATACAGTCGTCCCCAACAGGGCGACAACAGCCAGAGGCTCTGAGGACTAAGTCTGCGGGCCCAGTGCCTTCCCTGCCAGCCTCTGCCTGTGACCTTGGCAAGTCCCAGCAGAGACAGGGAGCAGGAAGATCGCTGAGTTTACTGCGACTCCTCAGAGGCCCAGGCCTCCTAGGTGGGAAGGAGGCACCCATACTTAAGTAGAGCAGCTGCTGGGGCTGCCTGTGAGCACTCATGGATCAGGACCTGTTTGATTTTTGTTCTCAATTATATCTATGGGTGTGTGCACATATAGAGGTCAGAGAACAACTCGTGAGGGTAAGTTCTCTCCATCTGCCTTGCGGGTGTCAGATTAAACTCAGGTCTTCAGGTTTGGTGACAAGTACCTTTACTGGCTGAGCCATCTTAATGGCCCCAGGGAACTCTTGTTTTTCTTTCTTTTTCTTTTCTTTTCCTTTTTTTTTTTTTAAACAAACTAAGTCCAGAGAGAATGGACCTATATTACCTACTTTCTGTCCCAGGTGGATATCACTTGTCCTCTAAACAGTTGGCTCATCTGTCAGTCCTGAGGCCAGCCTCTCCCCTCCCAGCCTTCCCTACAAGTGGAGCTATACAGCCTTGCTCTGGGACAGAGGGATGGCTAAGGGTATCCCTGGTACCCCAACTGAATAACCTGGACATTGGGAAGCGATCGGCAGAGAATATTGCTAAAGTAGAGACAGCGAAAGGCCAGCAGATACAGAGGCCACATGGTGGCAAGGACCTGCCAGGAAGCTGAGGGGAGAGAACAGTAAGATGCTTCCGAGCACAGAGCTGGAAGCAAGACCAAGCAGGGCCAAGTAAGTCTGCACTGTGGAGTCCATGGCTTCACAAGGGTTCAACTCGGCTCAGTCCATTTCCCTGTCCAGGATACAGACAAGATGACAGGGACCCAGTCTTACAGGTTGAAGATGTTTTAGGGGTCAGTGGAGTCAGTGGCACACAGCCTCCTGCTGGAGATCCCTGGAAGCCACTTGTACTAGTAATGTTTATTCACCTGATGTCATTGTCATCTTGGAAGCTTACCACCTCTACTGCTAACCTAGGCCTAGTCCTGGAAGCTTCTGTACAATTTTATCCAGGCCTAGAATGTTTTCAGCCTCTGAGACTTACTGTTGAGTAAGCTCATCCTTTCTAGCTCTTTCTGAACTCTGGCTGGCTGGTTCAACTCAGCTGTTCTGGCTCAAAACTCCTCTCCAAGCTGACTGATTCAATCCGGCTTCTCTCTCAGCCTCTCCCTGAATTGCTCTGCTTGGCCTCAAACTGTGGTGATCTGTTCTAACAGTCTGGCTCCTTCTCATTCTCTGGCTCATTCTGTCTTCAACTGTGTGTAGTTTGTTCTCTCTCTCTCTCTCTCTCTCTCTCTCTCTCTCTCTCTCTCTCTCTCTCTCTCCCCAACCTATCTCTGTACAACTATCCCAGTAAAGCTGCTTCCTTCCTCTCTTCCTCTGCGCAGCTCCCTCTTACGTTGGCTCTCTTTCCTATCTCTTCTCAGGAGACTTGGGCAGATCCTATTCTGTCAAATCTGTCTCTGATTTGTCTCTTTTTCTGCCAGTCAATTAGACATCACTTTCAAACACGGTCTCTACCCTTGTTGTTTGGGATTAAAGGTGTGTACTAAGGGCATGTCCGGATTCCAGCCAGAGGGATTAAGTGTGTGTGCTAAAGGCTGAGCCACACCACAACTTTTCATTGAACAACAGTGTGATCAAATAACCGGCAACAGCCACTGACCTCAGGGAACACCTCAAGTCTATCTTGAGAAGGAATTCCCCCACTGAGGGGAGAGGAGACCATCTGGCCATGGCTTGCTGTGGCCTTGAGGGCATCTTCATCCCATGCCCAGGCTCTCCAGTTTCAGGTCCTCGGACAGAGGGAGGTCAGAAGTAATGTCCACTTTCAGTCAGCCACTTTTGTCTGTCCCCAGAACACAAGTGTCCTTGCCTAGGAAGGTGCACAGGGATGTGGGGTTCACAGGACAAGAGGGGGTGACAGCGAGGGGGCAGTGGGCAGAGAGCTCTGGCACTGAGGTACAGGAGGGAAGAGTGATGCATGGCAGCTTAAGTTCTAGAATAGTCTGTGCCCTAGTCAGGGTTTCTATTCCCGCACAAACCTCATGACCAAGAAGCAAGTTGGGGAGTAAAGGGTTTATTCAGCTTACACTTCCACATTGCTGTTCATCACCAAAGGAAGTCAGGACTGGAACTCAAGCAGGTCAGGAAGCAGGAGCTGATGCAGAGGCCATGAAGGGATGTTACTTACTGGCTTGCTTCCCCTGGCTTGCTCAGCTTGCTTTCTTATAGAACCCAGGACTACCAGCCCAGGAATGACACCATCCACAATGGGCCCTTCCACCCTTGATCACTAATTGAGAAAATGCCTTACAGCTGGATCTCATGGAGGCATTTCCTCAAGGGAGGCTCCTTTCTCTGTGATATCTCAGTTTGTGTCAAGTTGACACAAGACCAGCCAGTCCAGTCTGTGGTCTGGAAGCTGTGGGGAAGGCTTCAGGAGGCTTCAGGAGGCTTCAGGAGGCAAGGTGGGGTTGGACTCAGGACCTGGATTAGGGACTGAAATGATTTGTACTAATTCCTGGCTGTGGGCCAGGAGGCAGACATCTGAAACTTCCTTGAGATCTTCACCAAAAGTGACTTTGCTGTGTACCTCCTCAGGGAGTCCACGGGGCCAGTGAAGTATTTTCACGTTCTCTGAGCAGAGACCCCAGACCTGGAGGAAGTCACAAGCTAGGACAGACCCCACCCTGCAAGAGCAGAGAGGACCCTTCATCTAGCAGAGAGATTGGGTGACAGTGCAGGGTGGCACAGAGGCCTTGCCCTCAGATTCGTTAGGCTGAGGTGATCTGAGAGAGCGGCAACCAATCTCCTCTGGGTGTCAAGAGCCACAAGTGCCTGGCTAGAACTCTGTCAATAATCAGACAAGGCATTCGCCATCTATGAGTCATAGTCTCTAATTAGAGATGAAAACGTAATAATTGCAGAAAATAGGATTTCTTAATGTTTTCATGATTGCTTTTTCTCTCGGAGTGTGGCATCTGGATTCACACGTTGCTTTTCCTGTGGGGAGGCTGACTCCCCCCAATCCTTCCCAGACCTACAACAAGCCCAGTCATCACTGTAGTTTCTTATTTTTCCCATGATTTATTTATGTTGTGTGCATTGGTGTTTTGCCTGCGTGTATGTCTGTGTGAGGGTGTCTGATTCCCTGGAACTAGAAGTATAGTTATTATTCGCCATGTGAGTGCTGGGAGTTGAACCCGGGCTCTCTGGAAGAGCAGTCGGAGCTCTTAATGCCTACTGAGCCATCTCTCCAGGCCTCCCCACCTCCCCTTTAACTTAATGTTTCTTTTTTGGGGTTGGTGCTATGTTTTTTTGCTCTTGTTTGTTTGGTAGATGAGGCTGGCTTCAAACTCACAAAGACCCGTCTGCCTCTCTGCCTTCTGAGTGCTGGGCTTAAATGTGTGTGCCACCATTGCCCAGCTTGGTTTTTTGTTGTGTGTGTGGGGTTTTTTTTGTTTTGTTTTGTTTTGTTTTGTTTGTTTGTTTGTTTGGTTTGATTTTTTGAGACAGGATTTCTCTGTATAGTCCTGGAACTCTGTAGACCAGGCTGACCTCAAACTCAGAGATCTGCCTGCCTCTGCCTCCTGTGTGCTGAGATTAAAGGAGATTAAAGGTGTATACCATCATGACATCTCTCTCTCTCTCTCTCTCTCTCTCTCTCTCTCTCTCTCTCTCTCTCTCTCTCTCTCTTCCTTTCCTTCTTTCCATACTTAAATTCATTTTATTTTCTATGTATGACATTTTGCTTGTGTGTCTGTGCATCAGACATCAAAGATCTGGGGAGTGCATCTGAGCCTTTAGAAGTGGAGTTACAGATGACTGTGAACTGCCATGTGGATGCTGGGAACTGAACCTGGCTCCTTTAAAACGGCCAGTGAGTGCTCTTAACTACTGAACCATCTCTCCCACCCCCTTTTAAACTTTGTCACCTTGTCTTAGCCTTCTCCCCGTCACTATTTAAAAAACCTGAGTCTAGGCATGGTGGTGCATACCTTTAATCCTCAAAGAGGCAGAAGCAGGCGGATCTCTGTGAGGTTAAGGCCTCATCTACACAACAAATCCAGGCCAGGAAAGGCTACATAGTGAAACCAGTCTCAAAAATAAATACATAAATAAATCTTTAAAACACAAGAACGTGCTGGGGAGTGATGGCTCACGCCTTTAATCCCAGCACTTGGGAGCCAGAGGCAGGTTGATCTCTGAATTCAAGACCAGCTTGCTCCAGGACAGCCAGGGATGCACAGAGAAACCTTGTCTCAAAACAAAACACACAAAGACTAGGTAACTTATAAAGAATAAACATGTAAGGTTTGATGTGGTAGCTCTGTGGTAGAGTGCTTGCCTAGCACACAGGAGGTCCTGGGTTCCACCCCAGCACTGCAGAAAGGGAAAGATTTAGTTGAGGGCTCTGGGCATTGGTGGCACACACATTTAAGCCCAGCACTTAGAAGGCAGAGGTAGACGGGTCTCTGTGAATTTGAAGCCAGCCCTGTCTACGAAACAAACAAGAACAAAAACCAAAGAACCCCCATGTGACTTAGCACAAGAACCAGAAAAGAAACATTAAATTAAAGGAGGTGGAGGAGGCCGCTGGAGAGATGGCTCGGTGGTTAAGAGCACTGACTGCCCTGTTTCTACCCAGTCGTTGGCTTTATCTCAATTTTAACAACGTTCCCATGTTGGGGACACAGAATTGTAAACTCCTGTCCTGCAGTTATCACTTCTGTCTTAACTTCTCCTGGACTGGTTTCTTCTTTCTTGAGTTCAGAATTATGGTATTGCAACTGGACATGTGCAACTAGACAAAATCCTTTGATGGATTTTGGAATTTGAATCATTTTCTTCTTTGATTCTAACACCAGTGAAGGCTGATATTTGCATTTAAATGTTTATCCAGTTGGGCACTCAGCCCACTTGCAGGAGGTGCTCAGATCTGACTTCCCCTTCTCTTTGGTGGCTGTGCACACAACCGCTGACAGCCTTTTGGAAGGGCTCTTTCTCGTACACTGACACCTGCAGGTACCCCTGTAGGAAACCCTCCCTGTTTCCCTAGAGAAGAAGCAGGTCCCAGAGTTGACTTTCGTATCTCCTACCAGCGCTTGGAAATTCCCGAGGCTTGTGTGTTCCTGCAAGACAGTAGAGGCTGTTCAGCCCCACCCTCCAAAACCCTTGTACCCAGGTCTCCAGAAATCATAGATGTGGCCCAGGAGGGCGTGGCTAAGTCTTCCTAGATGAGAGAAGTTGTCCATCACCCATGGCAGGGACCATGTCAGACATTAAGAGGATGACATTTAGGCCTTTCTACTCCACTAACAAGGAACGCCATGGTTCTCAGTTACTTGCTATTTCTTGGTGTTAACGGTCCAAACAGTTTCTTTCTCTGAGAGGAGAGGAGAAGCTCAGAGCAGTGGCATTCGTCTTTAATCCCATCTTCGAGGCAACAAATGTCTGGCTGGTTCACATAGTGAGTTCCAGGCCATCAAGGGACACATCGTGAGATTTTATCTTAGAAAGCAAAAAGAGAAGGAAGGGAGGGAGGGAGGGAGGGAGGGAGGGAGGGAGGGAGGGAGGGAAGGAGGAAGGAAGGAAGGAAGGAAGGAAGGAAGGAAGGAAGGAAGGAAGGAAGGAAGGAAGGAAGGAAGGAGAAAGGTTTATTGTCTCCACCATCATCCTGTGTTGTCCCTCGGGTGCGAGGAGATTCAGGCAGACAGCTTTGGCCAAGCTCTGCTCTGGAAGAATCCCAGGATGGGGGTTCAGGGCTGGCTGACATCAGGTAGCTCTCACCAGCCCAGATGAGCCCTGTGTGAAGACTGGAACTTCTCTGGGGAGTCAGATGAGTCCTTCCTGTGACACTGAGACCACTGTGCTTTGTGCTTTTCTCCAGGTCTTGTGGTGAACAGGGACAAGAGGCTCTCTCTGGTAAGCGTTACTGTCTTTTGGCTTCCGGTCTGTGGTCTCTTTTTAAAAGTAGTTTTAAAATTATATGCATAACATAGGATAGACACACAATATCATCCCTGGGCCTGGAGAGATGGCTCAGCAGTTCAGAACACTGACTGCTCTTCTAGAGGTCTTGAGTTCAATTCCCAGCAACTACTTGGTGACTCACAACTGTCTATAATGGGATCCAATGTGTCTGAAGACAGTCATAGTGTATTCCTATACATTAAAAAAAAAATCACCATTTAAGCTTCCTGGTGGGCATCAGTGTTTCATGTTTTGGCAATTGAGAACAACACGGCAGTAACATGAGGTGCAGTGTCTGAGTCCTTGCTTCCGGTTCTTGGCTCTACCAGAAGCGGATTGCTGCAGCCCATGGCACGTGTTACTGATCCTCTGAGAAACTGCTGAACAGTTGTTCACAGAGGCTGAACTATTTTATGTTCCCACCAGTGAGGCACAAGGTGCTGACCTCTTCCCAGTCTGTCTCCTTGTCTGTCTCCCTGTCTGCCTGTCTGCCCTCTCCCCACACACACATGGAGGTACGAGGAATTGAACCCAAGACCTTGTGTATGCTAGGCATGTGTTATACCACTGAACTACATCTCCAGATTCCTGTCTCCCATTTATGTCTTTTCATATGTGTGTGTACACACACACACACACACAGTGGACTTCCCCCTCCAAATGTCTTTTCATACATGTACATACACATGGTCACAGACCCTTGTCTCAGGACTTCATGTTGCCATGCACCCTTGCTAAAGGAAGTCTCTCACAGACATGAAGTGAAGGAAGCCGGGACAAAACATAGCTGTGGGGCTAGTGAACATAGAAGTTCTCCCCTTGAGGAGGACCCCATGAATCTAGGACAATAGCAGGGCACACTGACCTGGGTCCAGGTCCCATACCCTGTGTCCTATGCAAAAGGCCTCAGAGCTGGCAGTTCAGTTTGACCTTGCTGTCTGTTTTATCTTATTATTATTATTTTTTTAAGTGGGCCAGGAAATGAAACTGGAAGAAGCTAAGAGATGTTGAGGGAGAGAGGCAGCTGACAAAAGAGACAGGCAAGGTCCCCAGTATGGCCAGCCCACAAAGGCTTTCCTGGAGGAATAAGCTGCCACAGACTCCAAAGAGCCTCAGGTCTGCAGGCATGAGTGGAGGTAATGGCCCTTAATCTTTGCCTTGGGACCAACTTAAAATGAAGTTTGAGGCCTGATTGTACCCTTGAGCCAGATAACCCCAGTTCCTGAGGAAAAGGAGGGAGGCTTGAAGGACAAGGTCCAAGCGCCAACCTGCTCGATGCTGCCACCTCCTGTTCGCTGTTGACTGTGGCCGGGGTTCAGAGTCTCCCTGCCTCTGCCCCACCCCATGCCCCACACCAGTGAAGCCACTGTGTGGCCTGCACTCCCTGGGAGGCAGCCCCCAGGGCCTTGTCACAGCTGAGATGTGGGACCTCTAGGTGATGTGGGACTCTCTGCTTTTGAGAACGTACCCATGGTGATTTTAGTCTGAGGAGCAGGACGAGAAGTGACGTATGTCTGTGTGAGCACACATGTGTGATGTATTTGTGTATGTGGAGGTCAGAGCGTGAACTTCAGTGGTGTTTCTCAGCTACAACCCTCACATACATTTATTATTTATTATTATTATTATTTATTATTATTATTTTGAGATCTGGAACTTTTCCAAATGGGCTAAGCCAGCTGCCCACCAAACTCCAAAGATCCACCTATTCCTGCGTCTTGCCAGCTGAGATTATAGGAATGTCACACACATGCCCAGGTGTTTTTCTTCTTCTTGTTGGGTTTTTTGTTTTATTTTTAATTTTTTTGTTGTTTTTTATTTGTTTTTTTTTTTTTTTTAAACGTGACGTCTGAGGATCAGACTCAGGTTTTGTCACAAGTACTCTACTGACTGAGCCATCTCTCTAGCCCAGGAGTGAATTTTTTATGCCGTATATGAGGCCGGGTATCAGATACTCACTAGGACCCAGTGCTGCCGACCACTGACCTACATCCTTAGCCTACTGTATTACACCTTATACTTTATTAACTACATAATTTCTCCTGCGAACTCTACTGATTCTAGCATGCATATCATACGTCAGTAGCTGCATGGGACTGGAGGCCTCCATTTTGGGCGCTGCAGCACACCTAGTAAACAGCAAGGCAGGGCTAGGTGGAGACACAGGTCTGGTGGACTCACTGCTCTGTGGTCCAAAGCATAGTTTCATGTGGAAGCAGTCTCAAGCAGAGACTGAACTCTGCTTGCTAGAGCCCAGAGCTCCCAGCAGCTGGACTATGTTCTGGGAAGAATCTGCAGGGGGCTCCTCAGCCCTGAGAGGCCCGAAGTAACCTCCATTGCTTCTCTGCCTCCACCAACAGCCACACCAGCTGTAAAGGGTTCTGTGAGTGGATTCTGGCTGAGTGGCCGGCTATGATCCTGAGAGAGAAGAATGGATGGGGGGTGGGGGTGGGGAGGGCAGGACTTTGGTGAATGAAAACCAAGTGGCTTTGATGAGTAATGACATGGCAGATATTGGCCTTCTGGGATGGTGGCCCAGCTGACCTCACTGGAACCCAGGTGCCTTAATTACCCTGCCTGCAGGAGCGTGTGGGGCTTCGTGGCAAGGGTCCACCCTGGTTTTGTCTCTGCAGCCAGAGAACATCTTTGACTTCATGAGCAAAGATCAGTTTGTGCACTCTACAAGGAGGCTGCAGGCCAGCGTGGTGATGATCAAGTGAGTCTAGACCCAGGGCCCCTGACAGACCCAGAGACCAGGAGCATCTAGGAAGGAACCTGGCGCAAGGTGTCCAGTTCTCCCAGTATGACATCATACTGCCGCTCGCTCAATCAGCCTTTCTCAGGAAACATCTTTGTCAGCAGGCGCTGGGAGGGATAAGACAAAGCGAGAGGCGGCCTGGGGACAGGGGACAGGGTATGGATGGCACCATGGCTCAGCTGGTCTCTAGGAGAGCCTGTCTTGTGGTGACCAATTCCATGTCCTCATGTCGAGAAAGCAGAGTGTCAGAGTTGTAGAAGCTGCACAGGCAATCTTGGGAGTTCGTTCATCCGGCCTACTTTGTGTGCAGCTTCAGGAGGGACACCCTTGGGGCGATGAGGAAGGGGACACACCCCTAGTCAGATTGGTCAAATTAACCCTGATGATCAGTGGGGTCACAGCAGGACTGTCTACACATCCAGGAATTCTGAACTAGGAACTTTTCCTGGGCTAGCGCCACAGTGGGTCTAACTGGCCCTTCCCCTGATGCTTGGCAGCCGCAGAGAGATCTAAGCAAAGTCTGACGCCCTGCAGTGGCTGTGCTAGGATGCTTAATTGATTTTTTTTTTTTAACTTAAATTTTCAACTCATTATGGAGTTGGGGGGAATGTTAACACTGTCATACATCAAGGTATGAACTTAAAACCATGGAACTGGCTGGGCGTGGTGGCCCACACCTGTGGACTAGGGAGATGGCAGGGCCAGGGCAAATCTCAGCCCTAGGCTATAGCAGGCCTCAAATAGGAAGGGGGAGGGTTGTATGCATCTAGTCCGCCTAAATAGATGTTGTTTTCAAGATAAGCCTGGCCTTGAGACTCAGGTCAGATCCCAGCCCTTCCAGCAATGGCCCTTCCTTTCCGTAATACTGCCAGCTTGTGCTAGCCTGCTACGAGCTCTAAGAGAAGGCTGGTACCAGATGACTGAACCCTAGGGAAAATCTAGGCTCAAATCAAGGATACAGCTGAAGGAAAACTGGGGGGGGGGGGAGGGGGGGCAGAGGGGCTATCAAGATGCAGAGTCAGGGGACACCCCAACTTCTTGATGCCCAGAGCACTGCAGGGTTACTTCGATGTGAGGCGGGAGAACGATAATATCAAGCAGCCGCTGCTCTTCATGGTGGACACGCTAAGATCCACCCTAAAGGAGGTAAGGTGCGTGGCCCAGGAGGATGATGGGTTGGGCGTGTGTCAGCGCTGAACCCCACTTCAGATCCCAGTGGGTTGGCACCACTCCAGATCCAAGAAGTAGCCAGTCCCCAGAAACCTGGAACATCTAGTCAAGAGTTGAGGAGAGACAGCTTTTGTTGGCAGAATTTTATTATCCTCCCCTAGCTCCCAGACAGGCTTAATTCTGAGGTGCCCCGCCCAGCGGTCCTGCACTTGCCTCTGTTGCTCCTGGGACCAGTACGCTGACAGATGTTATGGCTCCAGGGTAGGGGGAGGCCTGTGTGGGTCCTGGCCCTTTATGGTCTTCACCACTTAGAATCCCCTAAGCCTGGCTCTCTACATGCAGCCTAATGCTATCACAAAGTGTGGGTGGGGGAAGGGCTCTCCTATTTGGCAAGCTCCTGCAGTAGCCTGCTTTTCTTTGAGGGCTTTATCTCTAACAGAGCTGGCAGTGACCCTGACTGTAGCTGCCCCCGTATAATATATACAATAGCTTCACAGCTCGGACACCCACATTCCCGTGACAGCCTCCAAGTCCCCAGGCTGTGAACAGACAAGGGCCAGTCAGAGGTTGCCTCTGACCCACATGGGAGTCCCCTGGGTGGGCAGTATCTCACCACCCACCCCTTTTTCCAGCGGTTCCAGTATGTGGAAGTCCCAGGCAATCACTACATCCACATGAACAAGCCCCAGACTGTGGCTGCAATTATCAGCCCCTTCCTCCAGGGTCTACCGAGGAAGACCTCTTCTAGGCTGTAGCTCTGGTCTGAGGCCCTGTTGGCTTCCTGGCTTCCACTGGATCTTGAGCACTCTCATGCCACAAAATAGCTGGGGTGGGCGTGAGTCTCACTGGGCTTCCAGACCAAGAGAGGCAGCAGAGAATCCTTCAGCAGAGCTGGGGGCAGGGAAGACTCTGGTCTTATCTGTGACTTTGAGAAGGGGACTGGGTGTTTGCTGAGCCGGTGGTGCTAAGGAAGCAGAGGCCCTCTGGACTCAGAGGCTTCTGGGACCTGTCCTTGCCACCAGCTGTGTAGAAATAAAATCATCTCCCGTCTTCACTGCGTTCCAAGCGGCCACTGCCATCAGGGGCTTTGTGGAAGGCCAGCTCGTCAGACGGTCAGCCAGGTTTCCCGGGAGTGTCTTTACAGGCAGGAGAGGGCAGAGGCAGCTCTGTGAAGGCCAAATCCTCCTACAAGGCAAGCCCTGCCCTTCCAGCCTGTGTGGTTGCAAAGATGAAACTGGGGGAAACAGCTTCAAGCTGTTTCAAGCTGGGACCAAGCTACTTCTTGGTCTGGTATCTGCTTGCCAGAACAGCTCAGTAGGGTCGGAATTTGCGCTGGGCACGCATCAGTTCGATCCTCTGCTTGTCCTCCTCAAACTTCTTCCGCAGCTGTGCTAAGTCTGGGGGTAAGGGGACACAGCATAAGTATGTAGGAACTGCCACTATTCCACTAAAGCCACCCCCCCCATGTCCCCTATTCCCACTGCACCCTGGGTCAAGGTCAGGATCTTGCATGGAAACTGAAGTGAATGTTACAGCCGCTCTAGATAGCCAGGCTGAGATGGAAGAGAAGTCCAGAGAGAAAGCAGGCCCAAGGGCACCTTTCCCTAGATGTGGCCTTGGAGTAGGGGGCTCTAGAATTCAGATTAACCAAGTGACTTAAGTCAGAGAGGTGGCATCTAAGGAGGGAGGGTGGACATAGGCTGGCCAGATGACTTGCAGCTTGGGTCTAGACAGGGCAGGAGCGAGGGATGTGTGGGAGAGACAGCGAGGCAGGTGTCAGTGCCAACAACAGTGTCAGTGTGGGATCTGAAGGCAGCTGTTGAGTCCACACCACACTCAGCAGAGGATCAGACCAACAGAGAAAATGTCCTAGGAGCAGGATACTTATCGCAGCACAGAGACTGTACTCCCCCGTGGTACACTCAAGCAACCCTCCACAAGTAGCCCCACCCCTCAGGGCCCTCAGCACTCTGCAGTCTGATGGCATCTGATCCCCTGGCACTCTGGGGATCTGGAGGTGAAGCCCATATCCCAAGTGCTTCTGTCACTGGGCAAATGCCATCTGTGGGGAGCCTGTGACCCTGAACCCGTGGAGGATGTGACTGAGGCCACCCTGCTCCCTGCCCCCAGACATGTGGGGTGCCCTCCAGTGTGTCTTACGCTCCATCTTGGTCTCTCGGTGCTGCCAGGCATAGAAGTTGAGCAGCTCCTTGCGGGCTCGCTTCCGTTTCTCCTTCTCGAGAACACGCAGGCTGGCCGCTTCCGTCCGAGGGAGCACAGGCCTGCGGCCCCGGCGGGTCACCTTCACCCAGCCCTCCTCATCAGGGACTCCCTCCTCCTCCTTGGCCTTAGCCTCCTCCTGCATGGAAGAGGCCATTGGTGGGCAGGGCTCTGCAGCAGGAGGATGTTCCTGACTGGCTAGAGGCCCACTGTCTCCTCCCGTGGGCACACTGTCTGCTGGCCAGAGTGGGCCCCCACAGCAAGTGTTGGGGCATAGACCATTAGGGTCCACACCACCCAGCCAGGTAGCCCAGGTTTCAGCAAGCAAAACCAGGAGCCTGCATTCCTTGTGGAAATGGCCAGGCTGCCACCACGGTCCTCACACAGGCACCACACTACAACACAGAGCGCCTTGCCATGGCTACACAGGTGACACCCGGGAGCCCTTCGGAAGCCCCACCTCAGCTATCTTCTTGTCATAGGCCTCCATGAATGTGTCTACTTCGATCCTCAGGGCCTCGGGGTCCACCACAGAATCTTCGTAGTCACTGATCCACTCTGAGGGAGAGGGGGACAGGGTGTAATGTAGGCTACACTGGGAATGCATCACGTGCTGTTTGATCCCGGTGAAAGTGGACCAGATCGCCCAGCTGACGTGGGCCCTTGTTGCAAAGGACCCAGGTTCAGTTCCAAGCTTCAACATGGTGGCTCACAGCTGTCTACAGCTCCAGTGCCAGGGATCTACCCCTTCTGATTTCCTTGGACACCAGACACACATGTGGTGCTCATATAAGCATGCAGGCAAAACACTCACACTAAATAAACGCCTTAAAATTAAAAAAAACAAAAACAAAAAAAAACAAACCCAAATTCAATCATGAGACCCCCCCCCCCCCCGCGCCCCATCTCCTCCAAACCCCTCCTGTGCCAAACCAGCCTGGCTTCCTGGCTCTGAACCAGGGAAGAGGAGAAACAGCAAGCAGGCTAACGGCTTCCAGCAGATGGCACTATTTTTTATGCCATGGTATGAAAGTCAGGAGGAGCTTGCTGATGGAGGTGATCAACCAGGAGCTCCTACAGACTGCCTCACCTCCCCGACATTCTGTCGAGCACCCTCAGCCCTCCCTGATGCCGTGACCTTGGCCTGCTCTCAGCCAGGTCGCTCCAGCCACCTCTGCTGGGTGCTATGAGCACCCACTTGATGTTTTGCTGCTTGCTATCTGTCCTTGTCTTCACCTCTGCTGGCCAAATGCTTACCAAACACTCATTCAAAACCCAAACTACAGCTGTCACAGGACAGTCTCCAGGGGACATTCAGGCCCCACCCAGATACGACTGGCAAGCTGGGGTCCCCTCGAAGAGGCCCCCAGTGTCCAGGGATTTAGGGCCCAGGTTCATGTGCTAAGAAGATTCTAGTGGCAGCATGCTGGCCTAATGCCTCCTTGCCTGGTGCTGATGGCTCAGGCTATTTCTGATGAAATATTTCTCAGAAACAGCCCTGCCAGCCCAGGCCTTGAGGAAGAGGGGGACACAGCTTGTGGCATTCATAGATGCTGTCCCCAGAAAGTATCTCTCACCACCCCAAGGCCCGGGGAAGAAGCACTGGACAGAACCAGCAGTACTGACTGTGAATTCCGTTCTTCACAGGGTGGCTCTCTGTAGAAAGCAGCAATGGGCCCTTCAGGTTCAAAGCAGCTGACACTCCACTTGGCTTCTGGAACACCACATAAGCCACCTGAAAGCCCTGGAGGGAGAGAGACTGTGTAGAGCCTTCCCGCCTGTGGCACAGGGTCCCCACACCTGCCGGAACTGGGGGATGTGGTACCAGGCAGTGCCACATCCCAGACTGTGAGGGAGGGACAGCCATGCTCCTAGCTAGTCAATTGCTGCTGGGACACCTGTTCTAGCTCTTCCCAGAGAGGGACTCCTGAGGACTCAGTGAAAAGCAGGCTCACCCCAGGCTGGGGCAGGTCATAAACAGACAAGACACAAACTCAGGGTCAGTCAAGTACACATGGGGCACCTGGGGAGAGGGGACAGGAACAGGGGCTCCTGGAGCCAGGGCACTTGTCCGAGGAGGACCCTGCTGAAGTGGGAAATGAGTGCTGGGAGACTGCAGGGCAGAGAGGGAAAGAGGACGTTCGAGAATGTGGCACGTCCAAGAGAATCAGAAGCCATCGCTCTTACAACCCCTACATCACACATTACAGAGACTGCTATAGGGAGTGGTCTGTCTGAAAGCCTACTGCTGAGCCCACCCAGGCCCCAGCCCCTGCCCGGTGGAACCTGGTGTTACTGGGCAGCTTACCGGCACACGCTTGGGATGAAAGAACGGTGACTTTGGCTCCTTTGGGCTCTCGGCAAGGTCAGGCTTCTCCTGCAGCTCTACTGTCTTGATGGCGCCGCAGGAGGACAAACACTGACGCAGGCTATCCTACCAGGGCCGGAGGGAAGCAGGATGTGAACACTCACAGGCTTCTTGGAGCCTCCAACACTCATAACGACCCAGAGGACTTGGAGCCCAAACCTACAACACCCAGGGGGCCTAGATGCCCTAAGAGTGACCGGCTCCCACGGCAGTAGTAGGGCAGGTGTCCGGTAAGGACTCTCATATGACAGAGAAGTAATTAAGCCTTACCACCAAGTCTGTGTTAATCGCTGCAGTGTCACTCAGGAAGAGCAGGAGGAGATTTCTCAGGTCTGGGCCGATCACACAGATGTGCTCAGCCTTGGACAGGCACCGAGCGGACGGCTCAGCCCTTCTCTCCAACCTGCTGCCCAGGCTGGACTGAACTCAGTCTGGACCCAAAATGGGCCTTGAACATTTTTTTCTTTTTCTTTTCTTTTTCTTGGCATCAGGCAACATACCATCAATTTTTTTTTAAAAAAAGATTTATTTATTTAATATATGAGTGCTCTATCTGCATGTACACTTGCATGCCAGAAGAGGGCATTGGATCCCATTACAGATGGTTGTGAACCACCATGTGGTTGCTGGGAATTGAACTTAGGATCTCTGGTAGAGCAGCCACTGCCCTTACCTGCTGAGCTATCTCTCCAGCCCCAGCCTTGAAATTCTGATCTTCTTGTCCCCAAATCTGATTTATGTGGACCCAAGGACTGAACACAAGGCTCTCCACTGCACTACACCCCTAAGTGTTAACATTTCTCAATAAAATAACAATGATAATTCATCCCACCAGACATGGAGTTCTAGGCCAGCCTGGACTACACAATGACTTCTAGGATAGCCAGGGCTACTGTATTAGGAGACCAAGAAATAAAGAAAAAAAGGGGGTAGAGAGAATCATCTCAAACCTAGCAAATCATTTCTCTTGTGTAATTTACATAACAATGTAAGTCTGAGAAAGCAGAGAGCTGGCCTAGTATGGAAATGCCCTTGGCTCCATCACCAATACAGCAAATAAATAAACCTTTTTAAATTTTTTTGAGAATTTTTTTGGGTTTCTCTGTGTAGCCCTCACTGTCATGGAAGTCAATCTGTAGATCACTAGGCTGGCTCCAAACTCTTAAGACGCACTTGCCTCTGCTTCTGAGTGCTGGGATTAAAGCCGTGTGGTACAGCATGCATGTAATCCCAGAATCTGAGAGGTAAAGGCAGAATGGATCAAGGCCAGTCTCACATAGTGAGCAGGAAGCCGGCTCATGCTACAAGAGACCATGTCTGAAACAAAACTACAAATATAATGCTTTCCGTTAAAGAATAAGTATGTCTAGATTAGAACAGTAATTTTTGTTAGCTTGTCTTTTAAAAAAAACGAAAAACTAGCAAACAAACAAACAAAACAACGGTTGGAAGGACAATTTCCAAGCTAGGTGTGACCACTCATAATTGTAATGAGTCAAGACAGGGAGGGTGCCGAAGTACAGCAAGTTTGAGGCCAGCCTAGGCGATCCAGTGAGTTCCTGAACAGCCTAGGGAGAGTGAGACCCTGTCTAGACAGGGGTGGGGGGACCCATATTTTTATTCTGAAAGCCCCAGTCTTTCAACATCCTTCACTGAGGGTTTGCTGGCATTTCCATCTGACGGCCAGGATTCCATAGGGCCCATTCATAACCCACTGGTCTCCTACCAGACTCTTACCTGTGTGCAGTATGGGGGCACATTGAGGATGAAAAGGGTCCGATCGGGAGGCCATGTGGACTGCGTGCCTTGGCGAACTCTGTGCTGTCTCATGTAGAGGTAATGAGAAGCATGTTGCTTTTCTGAGAAGTTGACCGGAACAGCTAACAGAAGAAACAAATGCAGGAGAGTTTGGGGTACCCTATGCCACCCAAGTCCCATCTTTGTCCCTTTCTAGCTCCATCTGCCCGCCTGTTTGTCCATCCATCCACGGGAAGCTGTAGAGAAATGTACTCCTCGGATAATCACGGCAGGAGGCCGTGTGCTAGAGCCCAGGTTACAGAGTCGCGTTCTCGGGGTATCCGCGGTCAACCACCACCAGCCCCCATAGCATAGGCTACTCTGCTTGACATACCAACTCTCTTCCCTCCACCCATTCTTCATCTGGGGCTAACGTTTCCCGATCCCTCATGGCGACCTAGCCCCACCTTTCCAGTTAGTCTACACCAGTGGGATTCGAATCTCGGGACTGGGAGGGATACAGCTGCGGCCTTCACTTAGGAAGCGCTTGTTGAAGAACGAGACTCGAGCAGATCAGCGGGTAACTAGCTTCTGAGGACGACGACGAAGCAGCACGCAGGGCGCTAGGGCGTCAGGCGCCTCCTGGAGAAACCGTGCCCAAGCCCAAGGCCTCTCGGAGGAACGCCCGCGGAATCAGCACCTAGAGCCGGAGCGGCGGGGTTCCGCACCCCGACACCTGACGAGCTGCTGAGGCCTCTGCCACCCGCAAGCCACCTCCCCGCAAAGTGGTCAGTCCCTGACCCTCAGCTGCTCACCTGAATACCCGGGTGGGCTCGGTATACTCCCCTCGTGGTCGCCCGCCTTCTGCTTCCTCTTACGAGACACCATCTTGCCAACTGGGAGCGCAGAGACGGCTGGGAATTATAGTTCCGTCTTCCGGCGCGGCTGCGTTTCCACGACGACGGCGTCACGCCGGGCTCCGCCCTACCAGCCATAGGCCCGCCTCCCGGATCTTGCCCATTTAACCTTTCTTGACCAATTGGGAAGTAGAAGGAGGGTGGAGCAATGGCTGGAAAGTTAAGAGCACTTCCAAAGGAAACGGGTTCGCTTCCATTCACTTCAATTGTCTGTAACCCCCAGTTCCAGGGAGATCTGACGCCCTTTTCCGGCCTGTGTGGGTACAGTATATACGTTGTACACAGGCACACTCATAACACATAAACAAATTTTTAACAAAATAAATAGCATTCCGTTTGAATTGTGGTGCAACTGTGGGATTTTGAGCAGAGAGAGATGCCATGAACGTCAGTCTCTTTACTTGAGAGATCAAGGTTCTGACCAGCCTGGGTTTTAGACTGTAAACAAAGAGCCATGCTGCCAGGCCTTTGGCCAACATAGAGAACTTGCTCCCAAGCCTGACACCCTGAATTATATCCATGGAAGAAGAGAACTGTCTTCAGCAAGTTATCCTTTGACCTCCACATGCACTACATGGCATATGCCTCATGGCATGTGCTCTCTCCCAGAAGAAAAAGTGCTTTTAGACAGGATTTCACAAAGTAGCCTGAGCTGGCCCAAGGCTAGCTATGTACACTAGGCTGGGCTCAGTTTCACACAGAATCTGTCTGCCTCTTCCAGTGCTGAGATTAACAGTGGACAACACCACACACATCACCTATACTTGGCAGATGTTTCAATTTTTACAAATTGAAGTGAGTCCAAATAATTTTTCAGCTGGGCACCTCCTGGCTGAAGCAGGATACTTGTGTGTTCATCAGGGTTACCATTGCTGTGATGAAACACGACTAAAAGCAACTTGAGGAAGAAAGGTTTTATTTCCAGTTTATTTCCAGTTTCACATAACAGTTCATCAGAAGCAGTGAGGGTAGGAACTCAAGCAGGTCAGGAACCTGGAGGCAGGAGCTGATGGAGAAGTCATGGAGGGGTGCTGCTTGCTGACTTGCTCCTCGTAGCTTGCTCAGCCAGCTTTCTTACAGAACCCAGGACCACCAGCCCAGGGAGACCCTTACCCACAATGGGCTGGGCCTTCTCTCAGTTAATCACTTAAGAAGATGCCCTACAGCTGGAACTTAGAGACATTCTCTCAGTCGAGGTTCCCTCCTTTCAGATAACTAGCTTGTGTCAAGTTGACATAAAAGTAGGTGTGAGGCCTGGTTTGTAGGTACAAGGGCTGGTGTCATGCTCTGGAGAACTTAAAAACTCACAGGAATACTTTACAGTTTATAGGTGATCTATGGCACCAAGAAAGTAGTTATTTGTTGATGGGGATAGAATAGTGTTTGGGGAGGAACAGCTTGAGAAGCCTTATGCTTCAGCCCAGTCATGTGCTGAAAGAGGTTGTTAACTGTGAGGTGTAGGTAAAGATACCTCCAGCTCTGCACCCACAAGAGCACTCCCAGCTAGGAAAGAGATTTCCTGCTCGCAGAAAGCAACCGCCTAGAAGTTTACCAGCTTCCATACAGAAGCTTGCTACTGTGCTGGGAGGGGCCAGGATCACAGACCTATCGGTGTCATTCATGTGGTATGTGACACAGCTGGAGTGAGGCACGGTTTGTTACAGTGTAACTGTTATGGTGAAGCCTGGGTTGCATTAGAAGACTCCAAGATGGTAGAGATGCCAAATGCATGGATATTTGAAAGAAAACTACATGTGAGAAGTGGAACCAGCCAGGGAGTTGTTGCAGAGAGCAAAGCTGAAGGGGCAGGGCTATCTAAACTCTTGGAAACTGAAGTCTCCAGCACGGCATACGGAGCCACAGGGTTTGGTGTTTGTACTGCAGGGTTTTGGTCTTACTTTTGGCCCAATCTTCCCCCATTACTTTCCTCTCATTTGGAAGGAGAATGTGCATTGTGACATTGTATACTGGAAATACATAATCTTTGATCTTAAGAGGGTCAGTTAAGAATTTACTTGGAGGCCGGAGAGATGATGATTTGGTGGGTAAGATCATTGGGTGTTCTTCCAAAGGACCAGGGTGTGATTCCCAGCATCTACAAGGTAGCTGGCAACTATAACTCCAGTTCTCCAGGGGATCTGATGTTCTCTTCAGGCATTAAGTATGCCCACACACTTGTATACTTGTGCATGTACACACACACACACATACAGCCACACACACATACACACACACACACACACACACGCACACACATGTACAGACACATACACGGGGTAGAGGTGTGTGTGGGAGAACAGCCCAGAGCCAACAAGATGATGGCTCAGTAGGTAAAGGTGCTTACTCTTAAGCCTGATAAACTGAGTTTCAGTTTCAATTTCACGGAACCCATGTAGTGGAAGGAGAGAATGGGCTCCCTCAGGTTGACCCCTGACCACCACACATGGATCATGAAATGCACACATACCCAATAAATATAATAAAAGCAATGAAAAAAGACATTATAGCTCAAAGTTAGGAATAACAAATGTTTATTGAGAAATGGAAAGTAACAAGCCCCTCCATCCCACAATGCCTTTCTCCTGAACGAGACACAAAGAAGTAATGCAAGGGAGTGGGGGACATGAGGGTTGGCCCACCTTCTTTTCTGTTTCCCAAGATGACATTCTGAAATGCAGGAGGGGCAAACACCCCACTCCCCAAAGTACCACACGGCCAGGAGGGTGAGGATAACTCGGTTCAAGTGTGTCATCATAACATGCCTGACTCAAAAGAGCAGGTGAACAAGGCAGGGCCTCAGTCATCCCTTCTGTACACAAAGCAAAAGGCATGCCAACTGTTCCCAGTGGCAGAGAAGTTAGACTCTAATGTCTAGGGGTGTTCTCTTGGGCCAGGAGGGGCAAACACAGAGGAATGTCTTCCAGTTTTTGAGAAGAATTAAGTTTGTACCCATTTAGACGGGTTTAAGAGAAAGAGGCTTCTTTAGGAGTGGACACCCCAGATGTCACTCCTGGATTCCTTTGCTGGGCAACCTGAGAGCTGAAGGACTGATTCTGACTCAAACCAGCTGGGCATATCTAACTCAGGAAAGTAAGAGTGAGCTGAAGTTCTCTTTACTGGGCTAGCCTTGAATAGGTCACAGTCCCTCAGCATCCTCTACTTCCTCCACTTGTCCCTTTACAGCACACACTACTGTAATATGTGCCCTTAGGATCCTGCTCCACCTATGACAGCTTAGCATCTTCTCTTCCACTGACGGGACTACTGACCAGCTCTGGAACGCGGCTACCTGACACTCAGCACCTGCCTAAGTCCCACAGTTCCACACTGATGGTGTGGGAGCAGACTGTATAAAGTAACAGTCTCTACCCAGGCCGCTCATCACTGGGGTCACTTACACTAGCAGAGACAATGCCCTGGTGGTAGCTGCACTTTGGGCAACCCTGATTGCTGTTCTGTAGATAACCAAAGCCAAACCGAAAAGCAGAACCAGAACCAACATCTCTGATTCAATCAAATCACCCCAATCACCCCCATCCCCCCCACCCCCAAGTCCTCTGTGCTGCCGCGCGGGTAGAACCTGGCAAAAGGCTCAACCAATTTGGAGCTGGCACCTGCACCCAAATCAGGCTTTGATGTTGCCCTATCAGGTGAGAACCAAGACAGTAATAGGTACAGGTCCCTTCCTCACTCCTATATGGAAGTGGAGAGAACTGAGCCAGGGCCTTTGACACAACACTAAAAAGGGACCATGAACTCTGGGATGCCTTGTACACTGCCCAAAACAGCACAGGCAGCCAAGAGCTGGCAACACAGCCACCCTCCTGACCGTCATAGAGCCCTGCACATCAGCAGTCAGGCCTAAGATGACAGTGCTGAGAGCACAATAGTCAGTGACCTGATGCAGCCCCCAGCTGACTTAATGCCCACAGAATGGCAGCAGGTCCTATTCATTCCATTTTGTGTGAAAACTTCAACAGAAAAAAAAAACTCTTGAAAATAAAACATTAAAAAAAAGCAGTCTTTCCAACAGCTCCTGCACCCTGTGTCCCATGGGGCCCCAAGAAGGCCACCCAGGGAAACAGTGCACCATTTCTAGGGAAGCAATCAGCTAGGGGCCAAGGGTAGGGGGAGGCACACCAACAAACACAGCCTACCTTGGTGATGAATGGAGGAAAGAGGAAACATACTACAGAAATGTAACGCACAGAAGGGCAAGGTGTAGAACAACACAGAAAGGTGGGTCCCGTCCAGCGAGGAAGCTCTCCCTGGTACCTTGTCCCTTGTTCAGGGGGCTTCAGTCCAACGGCCCGTTGGTCTCAACTTTGCCTTGGGAAACAGAGCCGCCCTCCTCTGCCCTGTTTCTGGCTGTCTCGCTTCCCCTCCTCAAAGTTTGATTTTGAATTCTGTGGGTTGTGTGGTCACAGAGGCCCCCGAGGACTTGAAGAGTGCTCTGAGAATGGTGTCGGGGTCCACTTCGGCAGGTGGGTTGGAAGAGGTAGGATTGCCTCTCCGTGGCAGCTCACTCTCCTTCTTCACTGAGGGGCTGTCACTCAACCGGCTGTGAGAACAGAGAACCCAATCCCTGTCAGTTTCTCCCCAGGTGATGCTGGGTCCCCTGAGCATCTGCTGGGAGCTAGGCATGCAGCACAGTGCTCTCCACATCCTCTATCTGACTGTATCTTACTGGGAACTATTACTTTTCTTATTTACTGTTAAAAAAACCAAACCAAACCAAACCTAGCTACAGCCTGAAGAGTGCTCCAGTTTCACATCTGGAAACTCTGCATGTTCTTCTGGGTAGTCAAACAAAGTCACATATTACACAGTCAATTCCAGGGACGTGCAGTTACTTTTTACCATGAAGATGGCGGTCATACAAAGCGGATGTGAGAGCTTGCTCTCCACTTCCCTCAGAGGTGCTGGACACTGTCATATTAATCAATATGACACTGTAATCAAACCCTGGAGACAGTTT